GGTCCGTTCGCCATTCTTGTAGTCGCTTCAAGGTGGCAAATAAGTCAGCATACCAAACCGTCCTTCTCGGATGATCTGCTTGACCATTGTGCACTTATGAGACAAATACAATTGAAACAAATAAAAAATATGATGGATACATTGGCACGTTCTTGTGACTTCATCAACGTTTGCAAGCATAATTTCGTCACAATCGCTTACTAGACTGCAATAAATGTGTAGAAGTAGTTTCATGATCTCCAGTAAAAAGTAGCACTGAGTGGCCATCACCGAAAGACCTTGAACTACTGAAGAAACAAAGAATTCAAGCTTCAATTGGCAAACCGGTCGTAGCATTTGGGCACATTCTGTACTACTTTGTAGTAGATTTGGTACTCGAACCGTATGCGCAACGGATCGGTAGCTGGCTCACCGCCGATGTCTTGCGCCGCCGATTTTGCTTATGTGAACCAACCTTTAGAGGGAAATAATGATTGCAAGCATCGCAACTTCTAACACGTACCGGCTGTGCAGACGATGGCGTCCGCTGGAGACTTGGATGTAGAGAAGACCTGCTCTGCCTTGACACTCTTGAGGCTGTATCTTACAGACGCCCAGTCCGGTGTCCTCATCCAAATACGTCTTACTGATGCAGCCCGCAGATTGATCATAAAGTCCTGCGTGAATGGGAGAATTATAACAATCATGACATCCATTATTACTGTCTGCCAGTAGACTGCGGACCTACCCACACGCATAAGCTTTGTATGTGTGGGAAAATTGTAGTTAAAAACGTGTTCGAGGTGCAATGAAACCTGTCTAAGACGACCGCTCAAGGGACCTTCACAGCGTAGTTTCTGTAATCAGGCGGTCTCCTTATCCAGGGTTGTTTGACTGGAATTAACATCCCGGCTTGGTTCTGGTTTCAGTGATTTCCTAGGACAGGTTTTGCCCCGAGATGTTTAGGATGCATAGTGATTGTGACGCTCATCATTCGCTCCCTTGTCACTTGACAGTCCTGTCCGTTTGGTTTTAGCGAATTCAAATAAAGAAAACAACAACAAAAACAACAGTCCCTCCCTGCTAGCATTCGTGACGTCTCCTCCCGACCTGCTTTCAAACAAGAAATCTGCTCACTGCTGATTAACTCAATCTGCTCCTGCAGCGCTCACCCTCTCCCATCCTTGTAAAGTTCAAAGTGATGTAAATCACTTTCCAACTGTTTAACCCACAATCTCACCTTCTCATAAATTTATCTCTTATTGGCGATGGTGCCATCGTGAGAATAAAGAATTCAAACAGGTGATCGCCTAATGCGTGTGGTCACCTTGACAGGTTTGACTTCATCTTCAATGGATTACCACCACGGGATAACTTACCTGATAGCATGTTGACACTATCAATCGCTTGTGAATAGACTGTCGTAGCAGACTAGAGTTCTGGGCCTGGCAGTACTTGGACGCAACAGCAAAGGGTGCCTTGGCCAGGGCGAGATGCAAGTTAAACCCGTGGCAAAGAAAGGTAACAGCTAAATATGGAAATAGAACAGAATAACCGGAGATTGTGTAAAAACAGGAATATAGTGTTGTAATGCTGAATGCAGTTTTTATATTAAAAAAATAGGAAATGGAAATCTCCGTACGAGGAAGCTCCGAAAGGGAATGTACAGTTTTCAAACCCAAAAGAGCACCCATGCGCGTAAGCTTCTCTTTTGCACGCACTGCCACAAACCAGAGTAAGCCCTTTTCCAAAGATGCTCGCCACTTTTTTTCGCAACTTTTGGTTGCTTTGGAAGGAATCGCAACTTTCACAACTTTCTTCATTTTCACGAACTACAATGTACTTCGCAACTTTTCCGCAACCGCAAGCCGAGAAACGCCTTGGAGGAGACCATTGAAGTGCCCGTGATGCTCCGTTTCATCAAGAAGCGCTGAAATATTGCATCAAACCATCAAGACAAGTGTAGTTCTCGAAGAACATGTACAATGACTGACATATACATGTGCATAAGTAAAATTATTAAGTAGAACTGAGCAATGCATGCTGCCATGATAACTATAACTAGAGAGGTTCTGCACAACGAAAATTCGTACGAACTTTCGTTATACGTCATGAACTACGAAACTTCGCACGAACTTTTGCAACTTTGGACGCGAAAGTTGCCTGGCACGCGAAATGAACTTTCGCGAGAAGTTTCGTGAGATTGGAAGCTGGGAGCCGTCAAATACGGTATGAGTACACGCAACACATGTCATATAGTACCGCATGACGCGAAAGGTTCTTCTATATATGGGTTTTTTTGGGCATTTTGCCCCTCAACAACTCGTACATGTACATGTAGCTTCGATGTCAGGCAGATTTGACGTCCTTTTTTTGGTTCTTCTATCATGTACACAGGGGGTTTCCGTACACAATTACCCAGAAATGGGCATTTTGCCACTCACTTAGCTGCCATATCACTTATCAGGCGGATTTGACGTCCTTTATTTGGTTCTTCTATGATGGGGTTTCTGTACACAATTACCCACTCAGTTAGCTCCCATATCAGGTGGATCATCCTTTATTTGCCGACTCCCTGACTGGAAGTGGTCAGCTTCGTTCAGCTTGTGTTTTCGCTTCTTGGTCCTTACAACGCTTTCTCTTTTCTCTCTCAAACATGGAGTCCTCTGCCAGCTCCACTGTTCAATCCTCGCTTCCAGATTCGCCATGTCGAATTGTATTCGACCTAACGATGGATTTAATTTTGCTCCGCCAGGTAATGACACACCCCAATCCATTCGTCCGTGGTTCTCCAGCTATGGATAACGTAGCGGATGAACTAGCCAAACAGGATGCTGCACGCTTCGGGTCGCTAATGAAAAAGAGCGTTCGAGATAAGCTGATGAAAATGCTAGAACACCATGCCAAAGGCGATGCCTGGCGTAGACGACAGTAAGTACCGCAATGATAAGTAGAACACGTTATATATTTTTCCAAGTGTCAACCATGATGAGCATGTCGTTTACTGTATATGGAATTGTGTTCATCTTTACCCAGTACTTGGTGATGAAGATAAGCAGAATGTGCAGGCATCTTCTATCCGTGATGTCCAATTGTATTATTCTGTGACGCAACCATTACTTTTAATTCGTTCTATTTTATCCATCTTCTTTCGCATTTCAGATCTGGTTCCGCCGAAGATAACACGGAAAAAACCCAACTGTTGACGGAGCTCAGTCAGGTCTATGCTGAGCGCAGTATGCCTCAGGAGCGTGAAGCCGCTGCTGCCGTAACGTCAAGAGCCGTAGCCCTCCAACTTCGCGACACCGCCTGCCGCACTTTGGGCGGCAAGGGAACATCGGCTTCCACATCAACCAGTAGCAGTGATACTGCTACAGCCTGCACTGGCCACACAGCAGCAACAACCACCACCATCACAGAAACAACCACCGCAGCAGCAGCAGCTGCAGCAACAGTAGCAGCACCAACAAAGAGTGCAGAGCAGACGAGCCTGCAGCCAAGCGTCGGCCGACTGGAGCAAGTGCCATCATGGCTCCAGTCGTCGACTACCTCAAGGAAAAAAACGACCGTGCCCGTGATATCCAGGGCAAGAACTTGGATTTGAAGAAGGACGAGCTTGACTTCAAGCGTGAGGAGTTGAGGGCAAAGCAGGAAATGCAGCCATGATGTCCATGATGAAGATGATGATGGACAAAATGAAATGATACGCATATATTCTATATGATGTGGGACTGCCACAAATTCAAATGAGTTGGTTTGTTGGCTTTATCTTTATCTATCTGCACATCACGTCTAACATATCTATTTAATGTTGAGTGCTGTGATCACAAAGAAATCTGTGTAGACCTGGTGAAGAAAAGCTGTTGTCCATTGAAAAATTCCGATTGCTTTTACAGTGGTATGTCGTGGAGATAAATTCCACTAACATATCCACTAGGGGTGAAACAATTATACCGAATACTCGAGTACTCGCTCGGTTTTTTCAGAAATAATCGTACTCGGAATAAATCAGAGTACTCGTTCATACGTGGTACATGCATTTACCACAGAAATCTGCAGTTTCAGAGCAGCAGTCGGCAGATATTGATGTACAGACTGTGTGGTGAACATTTTGTTCACGAGTAGAGAGAGCCCAAATGACCCAGCAACATATATACCAGAGAAAAATGGCAGCCACTCGGTTCAAGCAGGGTTGTATCATGTGATTTTAAGGCCCTCGGTGTCCAATTTATAAGAGATGAAGAATACTCGAATACTCGAATATTCGATCGGAGAAAATCAGAGTACTCGAACTCGGGATCTCAATGCCAACTTTCACCCCTAATATCCACTATGGAGCTCAGGAAGTGCTTACGGTTGCAAGTACTCCTGGATCGATGGCGGTGAAATGCTGAAATAGCTGCTGGTCTTGTTGCCAAAGCGCATGATGGTGCGGAGATTGGTGAGGAGAGCAGCCACTTTATAATACAAGCCCACTGGCTGCAACAGTAGCTTTTCCTGTTTCCTCATGTCTACATATGCCCATAGCGTGCAGACTTCACCGAAGGCCCACTCAACAGCAATGCGGCCTGCATTCATGTGCACGTTGAATTGGTGCTGGTCATGAGGGAGATTTGCGCCGCGGTATGCCTTCTGGAGGTAGGGGCTTAGCGGGTACGCAGGATCTCCGTAAATTGCAAACGGGGGCTCATTCTGCGGGTGATTGATGTCTTGGGTCATGGCATCCAGCAGTTGACTCTCACGGAAGATACGAGAGTCATGTTGCCGCCCTTCAATGGGCCCATGCAGATGGGTGATCAGGCCGTCAGGTGTTGCAACAGCCTGATACTTTACGGCATGCACGCGCTTGTGGCCGTTGTACATCAATCGCTGATGCATACCTGGGCGACATATTGACCTGACTGTGCCATGTAACCCCATACGTTCAGGTTCACACCAACCTTGGCAGAAATCGCCTGCGCATAGGCTTCAATGCGCTCTGGCGTGAAAAACGGCTGCGCAAATGGGTTCTCCAGCAAGCCTCCCCACCTCTCCCATACCCACATCAGCATGCTGTTGATGATAAGCGATAGAACGGGTTTGCTTCTACCGAACTCCTCACACAGCATACCTAGACGATCTGGGTAGGCAAGCCGACGCAGCAAAATCAGCAAACCCTCCATTCCGTTCCACGTGGTCCTGCATGGTGCTCGAAATCTATGTGGAACTTGTAACGCTATGAAAAGCTCTTCCAATTGTCGATGCGTAAATCTGAACTGACGAAGACAAACATCATCATCCAGCAAGTTGAAATCCAGCCGAATTCCAATTTCCTGGAGGCCACAGGCAGCACACAGCTCCACACCGCCGATCAGCATGAGCAACTCCTCATCATCCAAGTCCCCCTCGTCATGGGCTAGCAGGAATAAGCAGCAGAGCACTGCACTTTTCTCTTCGCCACTTATTTCCCCTACGTTCATCGTTCTCACCAAACCAACTTCTAACACAACCAAGCTCACAACAAATCTCGTGTCCTGCACTGATGAAGCAAGTAGAAGTGACTAGAGTCTATCGGGTGCTGCAATGAATATAGTTACTGCAATTGTAGTATACACTTTTCAAAATACGCTGTTTGGTTCCACGTGGGTGTCGCCACGTGGCGGGCACGGCTGTACAACGTGCATGAGATTGCGTATGCATATGCGTAGATCTACGTGCGAATATCGCGTACTGCGAAAAAGTGCAGAACACAAAGTTCGTGCGAAACTTCGCACAAATTTTCGTCACGCTGTTCACGAAAGTTTGTACGAATTTTCGTTATGCAGAACCTCTCTATTATCATGAATGCTGTGTGCGAAGCACCAACACAACTCATTCCCAGTCTGTTCATTTTCCTAAGCTACCATGTTTTACTCGGTGAACATACCGGTATTCATTCATACATGTACCTGTGTATGTGCTCTGTATGCATGACTTTACTCAAGCAGTTATCATGGTTGTCATGGTTATCATGGTTGTCATGGTTATCATGGTTGTCATGGTTATCATGGTTATGCGGCGCCGCAGTATGCTGCAGTGTTGTCTATTTCCGCTGCTTAGTTTTTGCTCGTTTTTGCGATCATTATAAGTATGCACAAGAACTCGCTCATTTTGAGTTGCGATATCAGCAACTTTTGAGCTTTTTCTGAAAATTTAATATTGATGCGATTTCAGCTACTTTCACTCGTTTTGGCATGGTTGCGAAAAGCATATGTTGCGAAATATGTTGGCATCTTTGGGAAAGGGCTACTACCGGCATTGTGTAAAGTGGTGGTTCATAGCAGGAAGGGGTGTACGAGTTTGCTGTTGCTGCACTTCTGCTATTTCGGCTCCTTTTTCGGTGGTTTTGCACAAGAACTCTCCAATTTTACGTTTCGATATTAGCAACTTTTGAGCTTTTTCTGAAATTATGGATGCGATTTCAGCAACTAGCACCTGTTTTGGCATGGTTGCGAAAAGCATAAGTTGCGAAACATTATGGCATCTTTGGGAAAGGGCTAACCAGAGTTGTAGTAGGGCTAAAACCTCAGTTAAAATCAAATCTAAGACAGGTATTGAATATGTCCCAGACTACTGTCAAACTTTCCATTGTGGAAATGCAGCCGGGTGTGGGACTTCCACTAAGGATGTCTGGCCACTATTTGAACTTGAAGGTAGATGGAAAACCTTTACACACACACACACACCATCTTCAATCCAAGACATAGTGGGCTCTTCGCTGCAAAAATAATTCTCAATCAAATTTTCGGCCACAAGCCATAGTCAGGATAGACGATAACGGAATGCACAGTTTACACATTCAATAGTGGCAGTTACCGTATTTCCTCGATTAATGGACCGTGCTTGAATAATAGACCATGCTCAAATAGTAGACCCTCCTACAGTCCATTCATTGGAAACTGGCACCCTAACTTTTTGGTGTCTCTCTCACATAGTTGTAGATATCGTGAAAACAACAGTACATCCTACATTGCGTGGCCCGTGCAATTACTCCTTGCCACATTTGAGGCCAGAAAAGTCCAAGAACAGGGAAATAGAAATTCAGCCAGGTTTTACAAAATTAGGACAGGTATGCCATGGCAAAATGTATGGAGAAGCAGATCCAAAACCCAGAATTTTGAGATTTAAAGTGGGTTTTTGATCCTCAATTCGGCCCAAAATCCGACTTTCAAAAGCCAGCGGGCCAGTTTCCGATGAATGGACTGTAGGGGCCTCACGAAAAAATAGTAGACCATGCCCGAAAAAGAGACCCGGTCTCTTTTTTGAGTTCATCGCTTTGCGCAAGCGCACTAAGAAAGCACGTGGTGGATCAAAAAATAACGCGATTTTAGGTTGCGCAACTACAATTTTTGTAGTGGCTAGTGCTTTCTTTCATTATTTGAGCACGGTCCGCTATATTTTCATCGGCACATCGCTGGAAATGGTGGGGGTCACCATTTCCAGCGATGTGCCGATGAAAATATAGTGGACCGTGCTCAAATAATGGACCATGCCCAAATAAGAGAGTCCAACCCTCTTCAAAAAACAAAAGACCGGGTCTATTAATCGAGGAAATACGGTATGTACAGTGGCTCAATGCGCATGTTAACATCCTCAAGTACAGTTGCGCTCGGAGAAATCCGACCCAAAGTACAAAACTGGCGCCCTGGACCAGTTCCGATTACATCATTGCATTTGTGCATGTGTACGTCCAGCCGCATTCGTGCCACTTCCAGGGCGTCGAGGGCGTGCTAGTTTGAGGGCGTCAAATATGCACTTTGGGTCGGATTTCAGTCAGCGCAACTGTACATGTGGCTACCAACTACCAGTACTGTAACATGTTTGCCGATTACCAAAGGCGGTAAATGTGGGCTATTTCGCTCACGGCCCGACCAAACTACTTACTTGGTTTGATTACGTGTGCAGCGCAGACCGGCAGACACATGCTGTGTGCTGTTGTGCCGATGACGACGGACGCCGTGCAGGTGTAGACCTCAGGCTCCGTACGGCACGTGTGAATTTCAAGAGATGTGTCAACGCCTGGCGCAGCTGTAGCCATCAATTCCTTGTAATTAGCTGAAAAAAAACAGGGCATAGAATCAGCGGACTTGGGACAATACATGTAAAGGAATTGGTGCCCAAAACCTTCGTACTTTATGGAGCCTTCTTATGATTGAAATCTTCGTATCAATATTAGGCCCTTCCATTTCACGCAGAAGAAGCACAAATTTCGTTAAGCAACTCGAGCTCAACCGACGTGGAGTGAAGGTCCCGATACATTGTGTCTCGCGTGCTCTGGATGGCAGTCGTTGGAGTGTCAAGCCTAGAGCCGAGTCGCCAAGGACAGAGGGAGCGCAGGCGGAGAGAGAGAGAGAGAGAGAGAGAGAGAGAGTGAGTGTGTGTGTGTGTGTGTGTGTGTGTGAGAGAGAGAGAGAGAGAGAGAGAGAGAGAGAGAGAGAGAGAGAGAGAGAAGGACAGAGAGAGAAGGACAGAGAGAGAGAGAGAGAGAGAAGGAGAGGTAGAGAGAGAGAGAGAGAGAGAGAGAGAGAGAGAGAGAGAGAGAGAGAGAGAGAGAGAGAGAGGGAGGAAGAGAGAGAGAGAAAGAGAGAGAGAGAGAAAGAGAAAGAAAGAGAGAGAGAGAGAGAGAGCAGTAGCAGCAGCACAGCATTCCGATATTTTCGCTGATGTGGCCTCATCTCACTCCAGCCTTTTAAAATTGTGTGTGTGTGTGTGTGTGTGTGTGTGTGTGTGAGAGAGAGAGAGAGAGAGAGAGAGAGAGAAGGACAGAGAGAGAAGGACAGAGAGAGAGAGAGAGAAGGAGAGGTAGAGAGAGAGAGAGAGAGAGAGAGAGAGAGAGAGAGAGAGAGGGAGGAAGGAAGAGAGAGAGAAAGAGAGAGAGAGAAAGAGAAAGAAAGAGAGAGAGAGAGAGAGAGCAGTAGCAGCAGCACAGCATTCCGATATTTTCGCTGATGTGGCCTCATCTCACTCCAGCCTTTTAAAATTATAATTTAATTCATTATTCCTGTGGACATGCTTTCAAAAATGCCATAGGAACAGACGTATTGTCACGTGATCCATATATTCTAGAGATTAACTGCGCTTGCAGTCAAAAAAACTCTTCGGATATGTTTCATTTTTGACAGGTAGGCAAGGTGAAATACCTGCCTTTTAAAGATTCGTAAAGTTTGGACCGAGATTATGCTGAACTTGACACAACGTGTAAACTTACTAGGCAGACATACAAAGTCGTAACGGTCCTTCTCGTTAGCAATGAAGTCCTGGACATCGTTAGAATCGTAAACCTCGCCATTTCCAGCCGAATCGAAGAGCCACACGGGACTTGGTCTGTTCAGCAAACAGCCACGTTCGGCAGGGGACAGGGTTGCGAGGTAGAGATCGTTCATCAGGACTGTGTTGGCCTCCTTGCAGCTTTGCCTTGCAGTGTCCAGGTCTGTTGCACTGCCTGTCAAATAGCTATGAGCACCGCATTGGACGGTAGCTGATGTGAAAATGAACACAAAGAAAACACACTACCGTCAAGCAAAGACTAAGGGCGCGCTCGAATTGTCTTCATCAACTTTTCAAACAAATTTTATAAAGAGATTAGTTGAAGTGTCCCATTAGAACGGTTTCTATCATTTTAGAGTTTTTCAGTGGAATTGTCATGGCGATGATGACGTCCGATCAGATCGACCATCTCCACGTGGTACGTGACGTAGCTATTCCAAACTCTTCGAAACTAATCCACCTCTCCCATCGGATGAGGTTGTGGAGTTCCGAGGACTTTCGTTTTTCTGAAGAGGTCAATAAGGCCACCTCTTCAGAAAAACGAAACTCCTCGAAAAGTCAAAGAGTGACAATTCAAACGCGCCCTAAAACCACCTCGTTCAGTAAGAGCTATGACAAGTAGGAATGTCGCAGACGTCACCACGCACCAAGGCAACATTGTTAGAGGTTTTACTGTGTTTGTAACAAAGCTCTAAAACTAAGTGAAAAGCCTCACGATAGAAAAGCTCTAATATAACCGCTGAATTATGCTGGGGCTGTCATCCCAGCGGAGACAATTCAGCATTTTCTTCGGACTTCAAAACCCACATAAATTAATAAAGCTTTAGTTTCCCCAGCTCTACACCAAAGTTTCAACAAAGTGATTGAGGTGTCGAAGTGCCGGGATCACAGCTTTCTCACTGTGATGAAAATTAAAAATTAAGTACATGTGCTTCACTTCTCTTACACAGTGAGTGACACGTTGGAAGGTTGCTCCAGACTAGTTGACCGTCCACTTGACGTGCTATGGCTGGCTGGTTCTTAGGACCTCCAGCACATGTTGTATTCCCGTCACATTGAGCATAATAGCCTTCTGCACAGCGGAACGTGGACGTGGTGGGATCGATGACGACGATACTGCTGTTATAGCCGCTAGGGAAAGTTGGTGCACCCACTAGGACAACATAGGATTGAAAACCGGAGAGAAGAAACACCCGATGTCTTAACTACACGATATGTACAGTCTACCGGTGTGAACGCTCGGCGTATAAAACACACACAGCATGGGCTTAAACGTGGGGAGAAGAAAGTATGCTCGTTCAAACAACGGTCTTCACCATTGATCGTTCTCCGAGTCTGAGGTACATAATTATTATTGTTACTGAATGTGAAGGGTCGATGTAACCATCTGTGTCCATTCGAAAATCTATAACACCAAGAAGGTGCGGAAGAGTTACGTCGTTAATTGTCATTTCTCTGCGGGGTTGGTTGTGGACAGAACTGCATTCCAGGTTGCAATGGGGATTGGAAATATCGTCTCGAGTCTGATGTAGCTTTGGATTTGAACTCGTACCTTCACATTGGGCAAGATTGATGATTTCCTTGTTTTCGCACACGGGTTGTGCTGGCTCTGCAGAGATCCTGGGACATGGACCGTTAGAACAGGTCCAGTGGAATCCAGCTTGACAGGTGACAAGACCCGATTCCGCGTCCACCTGTCCCCGCCCAGCATCATTGCCATGTCCGCATGCTGAACGACAAAGTAAAAGGCATAAACCGACTGCACTTCAAATCCATCACAAATCGGAATAGTCAGGCCACTAAATTATCATTCATGAAGACTAAAATGTACTCATACGGCATGAAAGACACAGGCGGCGAACTGGCAGTAAACACATGGCTGTCCAGTGTCCGCACAAGCTCTCTAAGCAGCAAAGTTACACTCTGGCACAGAGATCTATGTGTGAATAATAATAATATTGAAACCTAGCATACATGTAGTATGGCTGGTGGAGAGTCCTTCGCGCCACCACCAGCACCCCCCCCCCCCTCCAGCACCCCAGCACCCCAACCATCCCTACAACCAGCACCCCCCCCCCCCCCACCGCCACTAACACCCCCCCCCCCCAAGCACCCCCACCATCCCTACAACCAGTACCCCCCCCCACCGCCACTATCACCCCCCCCCCACCGCCACTATCACCCCCCCCCCCGCCCCCCCACCACCACCACAATATGACAGAGAAAACCAGTAAAAGTAAACTCACGCTCGCAATCATAACCTCTCTTCACGTTTCGACAGTAGGTACCTGGCCGGCAGGTTGTTGTCGGATCTTCGCATTCATTCCGATCTAACAGGGATAAGCAGGCGATCATAACAATCAACACAATAATTATAGATTGCCCCCAGGCTTTGCTGTGCGACAAAGCCAACTGCCACCAGTGAAGTGATTCACAGTCGTGCAAGTTAATGCCAAATACAAAAACATTGAGATCACACTGGGCTTGAGACATGGTACAATGCAGGACAGAGGAGGGAGGAGGGAAGCTGTGTCCTATCTCTCTCTCTCTCTCTCTCTCTCTCTCTCTCTCTCTCTCTCTCTCCCTCTCTCTCTCTCTCTCTCTCTCTCTCTCTCTCTCTCTCTCTCTCTCTCTCTCTCTCTCTCTCTGTCTGTCTCTCTCTCTCTCTCTCTGTCTCTCTCTCTCTCTCTGTCTCTCTCGCTCTCTGTCTCTCTCTCTCTCTTGCTCTTGTGTGGAATGCTCTGCGCTATTATGGGTATTGAGCACTCTTCGGACTGTGGAGCATGCTACAGTCAACTTCGCTAATAATGACTGCGGATATAACGACAATTCGCGACTAACGACAGAATTTCCATGCCCAGAACAAAGTTCCATTCAACTGCAATACATATAATGAGACTTCGGGTATAACGACACTTCGCGAATAAGGACACTTTTTGATGCCCCGTCGAATGTCGTTATAAACGAAGTTGACTGTACATGATTACGACATAGTACAAAAATCAATGTTCCAACCGAAAATAATAAATGGCCATTCAAAGGTGCTTTACAGCAGGGCTGTTGAGCGAGAGCAGCTCAAGAAGGCAACATAAAGGAGAGCGACGACCCGCCACCTCCCATACAAACATGCAGACATAGAGGATTCAGGCCGTAATGCTGTTTTAAGTTAAGACGGTCCTAGGCTGAAATATTGCTTCCTAGGTTCTCTCCAACACAATGACGAGAACCTGCTCCTTATTTGAAGAATGTATGAATAGGCGGTAGTGATTGGAGACTGCATACATATTTAAAGAACGAACAATATCTCCTACCTTTCGCGCATATGAACGGCTGCGTGGCAGTTTCAGATTGGTAAGACGTAGTAGTTACGAGACCGGTATCGAGATGAAGCGTGCCGTCCGAATTATTCAGTCTATAAGGATTGAGTAACCAAATGTCGGAGATGTTCCTGTCGAGAAGGAATTTTGCGATATTCTGTATGGTCACGTGACGAGAAAGATAGAAGTATGAAATACGAAAAGCGTATGAGATAGGTTTCTTCATAGAACTTTTGCAGGGACTACAGTAGCTGGTCTACCGATCATAGTATGTATTGGGGTTGGATTTGAGAAAGTCAAGTTTGTATCGGCGTGAACTTGGACATTGCACACTCACTCATTCACCAAAGAGATCTAGAACAAAGAGTGTACTTCAAGTAACAGTTAAACCTGTATCTAACGACCACCTATTGGGGCCGGAGAAAGCGGTCTTTAGTGGCAGGTGGTCCTTAGTTAGAGGTTTACACCGCACAACCATAATGTGAGGCCGTCCGTGCCCGGCAAAGTGGTCTATAGTACCAGGCTGGTCGCTAGTCACGGTGGTCTTTAGTTACAGGTTTTACTGTAGTACCAGGCTGGTCGCTAGTCATGGTGGTCTTTAGTTACAGGTTTTACTGTAGTACCAGTATACATATAAGCAGCCTGCGGGTGACATAGGCTACACGCAGGGCAAGATAACTCCAGCTGTCCTTTTCCATGGCAACATGCACAAACAATATTTTTGGTACGAGGTCACGAACCACCAGAGATACAATGCAGGTGGACCACTCACATAATATTCACGCGTACACCCCAACACACGCGCAACACCCACACCCAAACACACATACCCGCACACCCGCACAAACGCACTCAAACGCCCCACACGCACATAAAAGTACACACATTCACATGTGCACGTACACGTACACATGCACACACACACACACACAGACAGACACACACAACACACACACACACACACACACAGACACACACACAGACACACACGCACACACACACACACACACCACACACACGCGCACACACACACACAGACACACACGCACACACACACACACACACACACACCACACACACGCGCACACACACACACAGACACACACGCACACACACACACACACACACACACACACACACACCACACACACGCGCACACACACACACACAGACACACACGCACACACACACACACACACACACACACACACCACACACACGCGCACACACACACACAGACACACACACACACACACACACACACACACACACACACACACACACACACATCCATACGTATTCTAGTAATACATGTAGACGCACTTCCAGAATCCTTGAATAAAGTACCTCGCTTTGGCGACAAATATTTACATAGCATGCCCTTTAAAAGGCTTACTCACTATGAAACATGGGTATCGCTTGCGAAGCTTGTGAGCTTTGTGTCGCAAGATCTTCATCCCAATGGACTTGCACTGCGAAACGGCAGCCGAAAATGTGGCTGGTTGCGTAAAGAGTCTCATGTTATATCCGCCACAGAGAATATTACCAGCTGTGCATCACAAATAGACGAACATCAGCAACATGAACTGTTTGTTCAGAGACAACTATATGTATGCTTTTATGCTGAGATGAAGGACACACTTCAGGCTCTTGAACAACATATCTAACGTTTTGACCAGCATACGTTCAAGTCTTATTGTCAGGTGAAATACAGGCAAAATCAAAATTAAATGAACATGGACAATGGGTTATGTACAGTAGAGAGGTGATAGAAGCAGTGCAAGGAATAAGAGCTAAAAATAGCAACAAAGAATGAGTGTCACATACATGTACATACACATAGAACGAAAAGGGGAAAAGGTGCAAGTGTGAGGAAACTTTTAAGGATGAATGGGGAGTGTGAGATTTTTATTACCTCTCTACTTTCCTTCTTTTTTTTTAGAACACGGAGGCTCCACTGCAGCCAATTCATAATATGATCAGTCACCAACACACACCATACACAAAGGTCATTGACGCTGCAAATTTCTACACTCACATTTCACATTTCTGCTGTGGTGATGGCGATGTGATGACGATGACTGTGACTTGTGAGTGATTGCAGCGTCAACGACCTTTGTGTAGTGGCGGTGACTAATCTCTCTACTTCCACCCCCCTTTCTTTCTATTTGTACGTGGCACGCATTCGTCGCTGTTGTTCAACTCTTCTTCCTTGCGCTATTTACATCACCTCTCTACTCCACTTAAGCCATTGCCCAATTTCAGTCTAATAGAGTGGATATGGACAGCGACATGAAAACAAACTTTAAACCAGGACAAGGTGTGCAAAGACAGCAGCGGTGGGACAAATCAATACCAGTCATAGAAAGCAAGACGCCTGATGATGGCATTGCCCAAGAACCTCTGAGTTGTGCCATACTCAGTAACAAAACTCCTTTGCTCCTTTTGGTGTGCAGAAATAATTATGTGTATTTGGACGCCCATTCAATGGTACATGTACACTAAAGTACTTACTGGGCGCGAGAGCAGCTTGTTTTTTACCATGAGACTTCGGCAATGCAGACAGAGTAGCTATACACACCACCAGAACCAGCCATGGCGCCAATGGCGATTGCGCCAGCATCATTGTAGCCTTTCAAAAGAAGAAGAACAAAAGAGTGTCAAAACAATTTACTCCCGGATTCTGAGGCATTTAAGGAGGTTTGAAATAGTACCAAGACTGACTTACTTTAAACCTCTAGTTGGAGACAAGAGCGCAACTATGGAATGAAGCCAGACCTGTCCACAACCAGCTGACATTGAATTGTTCGCCACAATTCGCCAGCCTATGGTGACTGCATCTGGTAAGAGGAGTAAAGATAATGAAGGCTCTCAATAATTATAATACTGGTAAATAATAATATCAAGAGTAGATAAACAAGAGTGTGCAACTCCGGATCTCTCCTGCACAATCTGCAGATACCCCGCGCCCACGGCGGAATTTTTTGTTTACGTCACCTTTTTTCAGAGAAACGCGGCTTTGCCGCAGAGCAGTGTGAGAGCACGTGCTGGGCACCGACCTTGTAGTGTAAAGCCCAGCCAAGTGCACGAGGGAAAACTCTCCAAAAGGCTCGCAGCGCGTGCGTCGTCGAAAAGATTACGTCAACAAAAAATTCCGCCGTGGGCCAATCCATCCGGAGTTGCACACTCTTGTTTATCTACTCTTGATAATATGGTAAGATCAAGAGTATATAACCCCCAAGAGTGTGCAACTCCTGATACCCTTTCTATGGGGTACGCCGACGGCGAAAACTCACATCACGTGGTGCAGTGTCGCAGTTGTACGTTTCCAACCCGTTTTTAGCGAGCAGCGGAGTACTAAAAAGAGCACTCTCTGACAGAAACTCACTGCGCGTATGCAAATCCCCAGCATGATCACGGCAGATTTTCGGATTGCGCGCACACTATCCTACGTTTGTACAAAGGTATCTGAGACACGTGATGTGAGTTTTCGCCGTCGGAGACCCCATATGCAGAGTTGCACACTCTTGGGGGGGGGGGGGGGGGGGTTATAATTATACTCTTGGTAAGATAAGTATATAATAAAAGCTAGTGCCAAGTTACAGTCCAACATAGATGGCGTTATTCATTGGATGGAAAAATGGAAATTGCAGCCCAACTCTTCGAAAACTGCTGTAATGTGTATCCCCCCAGTTGTTCCTGTGACCTATCTTCATTAGTAACCAGTTTCTTCACCTTTCCAGGCACCACAACCCCGCTCTGCATCGTTGAAAAACACAAGCATCTTGGCGTCATTATTGACCAACACTTAACCTGGAAATCCCAGATCGAAAATTTAGACAGCCGTGTTAGCTCAGTAATGGGATTTCTCTCGTCACACATCACCCACCTCCACACCGACTGTCGCCATGTTATCTACACATCTTACATTCTGCCTATTTTTGATTACTGCTGCATAATTTGGGCTGGCATTTCTAAACCACTGATTGCTCGACTCGAAGTTATGCATAGGCGTCTTTTGAAAATATTATTTCGGCTTCCTCGCCTGACTCCAAGCGCCGCCTTGCTTCTGCTGTGCCGCTCTCGGTCCGCGTGCGTTTTTTGGCATGCCAGACAATTCATAAAATTAAGCCGGGCATTGCTCCTCTTCATGCTCTCTCCTGCCTAAGCTGGTTTGCTCAATCTCAAGACATGCGCACCAGAAACTCTCTCCGCTTCCCTATTGCGCGGTCTGCCTCTATGCAAACATCTCCTCTCTTCCTTGCTTACCGCCATTGGTCTCTCCTCCCACAACATCTAAAATCCTGCCAATGTTACAATACATTCACACAGCTACTGCAGAATGCAACATACTAGTTGATATCCAGCCCTGCCCTAGCTTCTCCTGCTTTTCAGTTCCCCTTTCATTCTTTTTCTTTCTCCCCTCTAGCTCTATTACCGCCATGGCTGGCTATCGCCCACATCACCATTTCATTGGCTAGTGCCACGTGATTGTGAATAAATAAATAATAAATAAAGGCTCACAAGGCATCAGAAAGTAAGGCTACAACATGTTACTGTACGTCAAATTGAATTGCGAGTGGAGCACATGCTTGACATAAGCCCTTGAGCAGGACCTACAACACCATTATTCCCCCGTTCGGTATAAAATTGTACACTGGCGGGAATGGGAAACAAGGCGTCTCTGCAATGGCCATTCCTCGGACTCAATGTGACGATGTTTGCACAGCACACAGATGCACCAGTCTCACACGGCTCTACACACTACGTATCGATATGTTCCGTCCCCCAACAACACGGCCTGATACTCCACAGGCGGGTAATGCTCGAAAACGTGCTGACTCTGTTCGAAACGCAGTGCAACTAGCTCAACCATACAAGCTCATAACGGGTAAGTTCTCAATTCTGTTCCCCTTCTGTGTCCATATACCGAACATGCATGAAACCTACTTGAATAAGTACCAAATTGCGCGAGTGCTTTTGCGGGTACCCTCCGCCAAATGCAATGGGCTTGCTGGCACAAAACCTCCAAGTAAACCCTTACCTGTTCGCGTTGACTGTATATATACGGCGGGAGCGAGAGAGAGAGAGAAGAGGAAGGCTAATAATTGAAGGTTTACTCCTGATGCAAAACCACTACTATACTGGACGGCAACGTCTGTAGGGCCTTCCCTATCAAAATAATAGAATTTTCTACTACTATAAATACTACTACTACTACTACTACTGGCAGCGATCGCCCTCCAAACCCTCTTTTTCTATCGCTCCAAGTGCAAGCCCAAAGGCAAAGGAAGTATGCCATCACTCACCATCCACGGGTGCCAGTGCAAACATGTGCCCTATACGGTTGACTTGCGAAAAGCCGGATATACCCGATAAGGCATGTTTTCTATATTGTGTACGGTAACTGTGCGGAATGCGTACACCGACGGTCTCTGGCAAACTAACTACTTGTCGAGGAAGAAATGTGGGTGAAAACGAGAATGTTCACGCTTTGGACCTGTTCTACATGTACATGCAAGGTGCTTACTAGTTTATTTAGACACGTACACGGTGCTGTAAGCGTTTAGTTGTAGTCGTCCTGTCCACCGCAGCTGGTGTAAAAGCTTTCAACGCCTCGTGTACCGTGATTACACAATACACGTGATAACACAATTTGCTAGCATCAAGATTAGTGTTATTTATAGTGGAAATCAAAACAGGCAAAATGCCTAATAACATTGGACCCACTGTGAATAAAATGTTAAGGGATATTGTGGAAAGGTAGAATGGAAAGAAAACGGAAGGTTGGTTGCAACGAACAGATATCAATCCAGTGAGCATTGGAAAACCTATGTCGCTGATAATATTATACTGTAAGGCTTGAGATTTGAAATCCAAATACCTATTCGAACATTTTGCTGCTGGTGGCAATCTATTCCAGCGTGCGTTAGGCGCTTAACAGAACGAGCAGTGCTAGCAGGTGGGACCACAAGCAAGTTGCTTTGGCCTCCTCGAGTGCGAGTTGAGGGCACGACAGCAAAAAGGACTGAAATAGGGTGCTACATGCATCATGCAAACATCGCCAGATGAAACAAAACATAATTCAAGTGCACAGAAACCTGTAGATCACATACATGCATTTGATTTAGCAGGGGAGCAGTACTGGTCCACGGTGGCGACTTGCTGACTGACCGAGCGGGCACGTTTGAACAGCCTATGTAGCCATTGTTCTTGAGCAACTGACAAATACGGGTAGTAACTAATAGAGGTTATGCGATACACGTCATACAGTACGTTTGCCACCCAAAATTCTTCTATATAAGGGGTTTCTGTACCCGCTTTGGGAATTTTGCCGACCCAGGAAAAGGACATATGGAAACGAGTTAAGAGTAACTCTCCACCACTGTAACTAGATACTATAATATACAGTCAGGAAGTGCAACAACTAGGCACAAAACTGACAGAGTACTGAGACATTCGACGTCCTGACACCTAGCTTCAACACATCTCCAGGTGTCAGGACGTCGAATGTCTCAGGACTCTGTCAGTTTTGTGCCTAGTTGTTGCACTTCCTGACTGTATATAGGGTACCCCGTAAGAAGGCCTTAGGCCTGTGGGAATGCCCTATTAAAAATTTAATAAATAATAATAATAATAATAATAATACGAAATAGAGGTTGCGACTTCGGCGATGATTTTGTTTGGATGGCAGTCGTGAGTCAGTCAAGTGTCAAGTCGTCGGCGGAATAGCGCGAGCTCCAGTGTGGGAGCAAACCCATTCCTAAAAACGAATGTCAAAACCTACTAGCCGATTATACTTCGGCTTAACGAACGAATGAACGAATATTCTTTTGGTAACAGAGATGACATCACATGCCCTCCTCCCAGTCATTTGATGGATACTGTCATTTTTATTAGGTATGACAAACGGTAGTGCTACATAAAATGTACTACCACATAAGGCTACTTCGAAGTTCATACATGTTATGTGCACCATTGGCAGTCCAGTATGGACATACATGTGCATTCATACAGTACAAAGTCACAGGCAGGCTGTACGCACTGCACCGTGTTCGGCGTGCATTAGGCATAGCCCGATTTTGCTAGCAATTCTGGTAGCAAAATATCGAAGAATTCTGAAAGGGAATTTGCTAGCAAAACGGAGCAAAATATCGGTGTGTTCGCTGGAAATTGGGAGATTTTACACTTATACGGTGCACGTGACTCAATTTCGCACAGTTTTACCAACACGTGACTCACGTTTTCTCATTTTTGCCAACACGTGACCCACTTTCGGTCACTTTTCCCACATGTGACACAAATTTTGGAGCAAAAGGGAGCAAAATATCGAGTGGCCTGGCAAAATGAAAGCAAAATATCGACGATGAGCAAGCAAAATTTTGCGGCAAAATATCGAAGCTTCACTGGCAAAATCGGGCTTTGCCTAGCGTGCATGTATGTACAGGCACTGCATTTGAAGTGACGTAACGAATACTCGAATGTGACTTAACGAATATTCGAATGTGACAAACCGAACGAATGTTCGAATATTCGAATATTCGTTTCACCACTAATAATAATAATAATAATAATAATATAGTCCTCTCACCCAAGCCATTCTGCATAAGCGAAGCTGTGGACGCAGCATACTGCTGCTACACTTCAACGCGGGAATGCGTATAATAATAATAATAATAATAATAATAATAATAATAATTTCTAATTTTCTTTCACCGCCCACGGCCGCACAAAGTCCTTGGCTACAAAAAAAATTAAAGTCTCTCCAAATCTCTCAAAACCAAACTTCAAACTCCTTTCCAAATTTTCGCCCAAGAGGGCATCTTCAGGGATATGTGACTCCTGTGAACAAAACAACAATATAACTACAGAAAAAAAAAGAAAAGAAAAAAGGTAATAACAATAACGTGGCAATATACCAGGAACATCATAACTAGTGCTAAAAATTGAGACTAACATTGAAGATCATGTCACATATTCAGAAACAAAAACAGAACCTACCCACAATATCGCACGCCAGGTAATAGCCTAAAAACAAATGTCTCAACTTGCAAGATCTCAAGTCAGGTGATGATGGGTCAGCGTGAAGTGCATGTCTCAACTGGTGTGATCGCCAATTAGGTGTGAAGGTGACGAGGCCAGAAAGAGAGAGAAAGAGAGAGAGACAGAGGCAGAGAAAGATAGTGTGTGTATGTATGTGTTTGTGTGTGTGAGTGCACGTGTGTGTGTGTGCGTACGTGTGTGTGTGTGTGCGTGCGTGTGTGTGTGTGGGGGGGGGGGGGGGGTGCGTGAGTGCGAGGGCAGGGAGTCTTCGCTGCCTTCCCGCAAGTACATGGAAGCAACCGAAATCAGAAGCAGAAAGCCAGCAATCAACTGTGACACTGGATGGAGACTAACGGCATAAATTCATCAAGACAACAGGACCTTCATGGTTACTGTGGGCAAGACCATCTCATCGAATGGATGCAATTACCACCCGTGAGGCTCGCACTCACGCACCCCCCCCCCCCCCCCACACACACACACGCACGCACACACACACACACGTACGCACACACACACACGTGCACTCACACACACAAACACATACATACACACACTATCTTTCTCTGCCTCTGTCTCTCTCTCTTTCTCTCTCTTTCTGGCCTCGTCACCTTCACACCTAATTGGCGATCACACCAGTTGAGACATGCACTTCACGCTGACCCATCATCACCTGACTTGAGATCTTGCAAGTTGAGACATTTGTTTTTAGGCTATTACCTGGCGTGCGATATTGTGGGTAGGTTCTGTTTTTGTTTCTGAATATGTGACATGATCTTCAATGTTAGTCTCAATTTTTAGCACTAGTTATGATGTTCCTGGTATATTGCCACGTTATTGTTATTACCTTTTTTCTTTTCTTTTTTTTCTGTAGTTATATTGTTGTTTTGTTCACAGGAGTCACATATCCCTGAAGATGCCCTCTTGGGCGAAAATTTGGAAAGGAGTTTGAAGTTTGGTTTTGAGAGATTTGGAGAGACTTTAATTTTTTTTGTAGCCAAGGACTTTGTGCGGCCGTGGGCGGTGAAAGAAAATTAGAAATCATGACAAGGCTACAGAGGAGTTACGCCATCCTTATTAAATAATAATAATAATACAAAAAAAGTATTGTCTACGCATGCATCTACGCAAGAGTCACCACCAGCCAATTAGGACATGTGTCAAAGTATTGAACGTTTTCGTTCCCTTCTTGTCAAAATACTACAGGGAATGATGGAAATAAGCTAAAAGACTACAACTATAAGGAAAAGAAGTTCAGAAATATATCACTCCAATTATGTGTAGAAGTGACACGAAAAAAATAGATGTGAAGAATCAAGAAAACAGCATGCAAATCCAATAAGTGACAAAAACGTAGTGACAAGAAAAAGAGAGAAACATCAAGAGATCTATTTCGCACACACAAATTAAAACTCTATGATTCCATCTCTATTGAAAAGGTCTTGCTACAAGATGACCATAACAAGGCCAAGGCCCACCTTCAAAGCATACGATCCAAGTTTGTGTCTTCCTACCAAAGAAGCCGAACACATCTCAACACATTTGACTTCATTAGGTTCTCTTGGCTATTATCCGAATGTGATTGTAGGCAGCGTTCTAGACTTGAAAAGAAACACACAGGCATTATTTTAGCTTTGAGGAAGGACCGGTTTGGAACCTGCAGTGACAATTATGAAACAATCATCAATCTCTCTGATATTACCTTAACCCAGCTTCAAAAGGATGTTTTGTGCGGTGGAATGGACTTCGGTATTCCCCCGAGGTTTAGGAAAACTGATATCCTGGCCGAGTTCGAACTACTTCAGCAACAGCTATCTAGCATCCCGGCAAAGTCGGATATAGCAGCTGGATCTTGTCGGGCTTCACTGGCCGCTGAAGCCTTTCGGTTCGCACAATCGCCTCCGGACACTCGATCATTCACGCTATCACGGGAACACATGAAAGTGATCAACGAGCTTCGAAAGAATCCAGAAATCGTTATCTCTCGACCGGACAAAGGCCGTGCAACAGTCATCTTGTCTGCGGATAATTACCGGGAGAAAATGCTGGTCATACTCAATGACATTAGTAAATTCAGCAGACTTGGGCCTTGCGATGTGTATGACCATACCGAAAACATTGATACCAAGCTGAGTAAGTACCTGC